TGTTTAGTGGTTAAATGAATAACTAACCAATAGCACACCAACATGTACTTGATTATATTATTAATTAGCAGACTTCAATTTAACTATTCTTCCAGCCAAAGAAAGAATTATTTGGGGGGTAGGAAAGTAGCTCAGTGGTACAGCACATGTTTAGTATGCATGAGGCCCTCAGTGCACTGACTCATAAAAAAAACTTGTTAAATCTGTGTTAACTACCATCGAATCAAGAAGCTCCTTGTCAATACAGGCAAAGTGGAATATAGCAAAAGTTATCATTTGGCAAGAACCATGTACGTCAGAAAGACTTCCACCAGTCACAATACATAATCTGAACCAGGGCTGGCCATATGCAATACAAACTAGCACACTATGGAAGACTTAACTAGTTCTGAAAAAATATGCGAGTTAACTATTTATGGAAGAGTCTGTACCCAGTATATGACTCATTCAGGAAATAATGAAAGAAACGTAATATGACAGAATATCTGAGCTGTGAACAGCACCTCACTCACCTACTTCCCGTGTTTATTCTCAAACTAGAGCCAAGCCTGGGCCACATAGCAAGTTCAGGGCCAGTGGACAGTGACACCACACCTCAAAAACCCAAGGGGTGTGGGGGGACCATTTCCCTTTAAAAAGTCAGCCTAGATCTGGGCATGGTGGTGCATGCCTGTAGCACTGGCACTTGGAAGGCTGAGGCAGGAGGATCGCTGCAAGTTTGAGGCCAGCCTGGGTTACAAAGTGAGTTCAAGGCCAGCCTGAAATGCATAGTGAGGGCCCTGTCTCAAAATCAAACCAAAATAAACCAAAACAACCCCTCTAATTTCTGTCTCTATGAATCTATTTTAGGTACCTCATATAATGCCTGTCCTTTTTTTTTTCTTTTTTTTTTGGTACCAAGAATCGAACTCTGGACCTTGAGCTTCCCAGGCAGGCACTTACGCCACTGAGCTATATCCCTGGCCCCTGCCTGTCCCTTTTTAAGTGGCTTATTTCACAAGTTATATAATAATATTTATAACTGTTATAAGGAAAACAATATTATGAGTAACAAGCAGATTTTTTTTTTGGTACTGGGAATCAAACTCAGGACCTTGCGCTTGCCAGGCAGGGGCTGTGCCACTGAGCTATATCCCCAGCCCAATAAGCAGGTTTTAAAAACAAAAACCTCAGAAACCCAAAGTAAGTAAACTCCGCAGATGCACAATAGTCAGAAAAAAATTCCATCTTCAAGCAGAGAAATAAATGAAAATAAATGAAAAATAAATAAATACAGGTACACAAAATCCCTAAAGTCTTCACAAATTTTGTAAATCACAGGGTTTGAAAAGGGCTAGTTTTGTGGATTATGGAATCTGTTTAAACCAAGAACTAATACAAATAAGTACGATTTGAAAAGCATGTATTTTTTACGGTGACCCACTTGTCTGTCTGGCCAGGGTTTCCCAGTTTTACTTAATCTTGGGCAAGCTGGACAGCTGCTGACTGCGTTATGTATATGTGGGTGCTGCAGTCGGAATGTCTCTCCAACATTCACGTTGGCACTTCACCCTCGCTGAACACAGTTAGGAGGGGCAGCCTTGGGAGGTGACCAGTGAACCAGCACTGGGGAGGGAACCAGCGAGGCTGCCCCACCTTTCTGTTCTTTCTCCCAAGGGAGAAGGCAGCACGCAAGGAACCACTGAGAAGCAGAGACCAGGTCCTCACCAGACACTGAAGCTGTCAGCATCCCGATCTTGGACTTCCCAGACTCCATAACCATGCAAAGAATTTCTATCATTTATAAATTATCCAGTCTCAGGTACTGTGTTGTTATAGCAGCACAAAGACCATGGTAAATATGTTAATTAGGCCAGGTTAGTCTATGCTTCATAATAAAACAAACAGAAATTATAGTTACTTATGTAAAAGATCCATTTCTCCCTTGCATTCGTTACATGTTTAACCTGGGGAACTGGATGGCAGGAAGATTGTTCTACGTAGTCACTCAGAAACCCAGACAGGGTCTCACTATGCAGTTCAGGCTGGCCTTGAACTCACTTTGTAGCCCAGGCTGGGTCTGAACTCCCAACAGTGCTCCTGCCTCAGCCTCCAGAGTGCTAGGATTACAGGTGTGCACCACCACACCTGGCTTCTGTTCATATTTCCTTGTTAGGACTAGCAGTGTGGCTCTAGCTAAATGCTATTTCCTACAGACCCAGAAAAGAATTACACATGGTAAGTATTAGTCATTACTATCATAAGAGTCTACCAGTCCAGAGCACCAAAGCTAAAGTAGAAGAAAGAAAGTCAGGAGTAAGCCTGGTTTATTTAAAGAACAAAGTCAGTAATGGGCATGAGACACACAAGGTAATGAGACCTGATCTTGGTGAGACAGGCAATGTTAAGAAATACAATCTGAAGGGGCTGGGGATTTAGCTCAGTGGCACAGCGCCTGCCTGGCAAGAGCGAGGTCATGAGTTTGATTCCCCGTACAGGGGAAAGAAAACCAAATAAAAAAAAAAAAAAAATACAATCTGGGGTTGGGTGTATAGCACAGTAGCAGAGCACTTGCCTAACACGTGCAAGGCATTGGGTTTGAGCCCCAGTAAGGAAAAAAAAGTCCAATCTAGCCAGATGTGGTGGTGGATATCTGTAATCCCAGCCCCCTGGGAGGGGAGGCAGGACAATCCCAAATTTGAGTCTAGCCAAGGTAATTTACCAACACTCTGTCTCAAAATAAAAAATTAACATTAGCCAAATGTAGTGGTGCACACCCATAATCCCAGTATTCAGGAGGACTGCTGTGAGTTCAAAGCCAACGTGGGCTATAAAGTGAGTTCATGGCCAACCTCAACTGTATGCAAAACCCTGTTTCAAAAAGAACAACAACAACAAAAATAGCCAAAAAATTTTTTTAAAAAATTAAAAAAGGTTTGGGGATGTAGCTCATTGCAAAGGTCCTGGGTTCAAGTCCCAGTACCACCAAAAGAAAAAAAAAAAGCCAAAAAACAAACAAAAAAACACAACCAAAGTCGAATCCTGTAATCCCAGCACTTGGGAGGCTGAAACAGGAGGATCACTGTGAGTTCGAGGTCAGCCTAGGCTACACAGTGAGTTTAAGGGCAGCCTGCACTACAGAGCAAGATCCTATCTCAAAAAAAATTTTTAAGTCATTTTTGATATAATTTTATTTAAATACTAATCTACCTTAGTATATTTAAGATGATTCGGGGCTGGGCATGTGGTTCAGCAGTGAAGCACTTGCCTAGCATGTGCAAGGCCCCGGGTTTCATCCCTATTACTATATATACAAATAAAAGGACTAGAATTTCAAAAGTAGAACACACCCAGGAGTTGCCTGTACATGTTCTTACGAGCAACATCAGAGTGCTTTCTGTCATCTCTCCCACTGGATGCCATCATTTCTGAATTCTCAACACTATTCCTCATTGAGCTTAGTAAGAACTACCTCCAGAGCTCCAGTAGATAAATATTTCTGATGATCTAACAGTTAATGAAGAAAACTAATTCGGAATCTTGTGTGGTGAGTTTGGTGTGGAGTGACTGGGGGATGCCTCAGGAAGAGCACTTGGCTGGCATGCACAAGGCCCTCGCTTCCATCCCTAGCACCAAAAAAAAAACAAACACAAGTTGGACATACACCACTTTGTAAGACAAAGAATTGTGCTAAAAATTGTTTTGTTTTTGTTTTATTTGATTTGTTTCGTTAGTTTGTTTTTCTCAGTGCTGAGGATTGAACCCAGGGCCTTATCCATGCCAAGCTAGGCAAGCACTCCACCAGTGATCAACATCCCCAGCCCCCAAAATTTCTGAGAATCCATCAGACATACAAAGTCACTGTATAAACCTAATTATCACTGAAATAAAAGAATCTTCATTTTGTAAGTTTAAAAATAATCACTGCCGGGCGTGGTGGCTCACACCTGTAACCCTAGCACTCAGGAGGCTGAGGCAGGAGGATCGTTGTGAGTTCAAGACCAACCTGGGCTACAAAGTGAGCTCAAGGCCAGCCAGAACTGCATAGCATGACCCTGTCTCAAGAAGACAAAAAATAAATAAATAAAAAATAAAAATAATCATATGCTGGGCACAACACCACATGTTTATAATCCCAGCTATATAAGAAGCTAAAGCAGGAGAACTGTAAGTTCAAGCCAGCCCAGACAATTTAGGGAAACCTTGCGTGAAAAGAAAGAGGGCTGGGGACTAGCTCAGTTGCAGAGTGCTTACTTACCATGCACAAGGCCCTGAATGCAATCCCTAGTACCCGGAATAAACAAGTATATCACTCTTTTGTTTCCCGAGACAGGGTCTGCTCTGGCTGGCCTTAAACTTGTGATCCTCCTGCCTCAGCCTCTCAAGTGCTAGGATTATACACTTACAAAATTATACAATTTTAATCTTGTCATATTGAGTAAAATCTCTAAAGACAGGCCTCTATTTATTTGCATGCACATAGCATACCATCACCTATATCAATAGCAATCATTTCAAATATGAAGCTCTCAAATAACATGAAAAGTAACTGCTTTTTAGAATGGGCCAGGAGAGAACAGGCTAGAAAGGATGGACTAATGTTTTGTTTTGTTTTGTTTTGAATGAGCTTACCACAATGGAGTACTACTCTGCCACGAAGAAGGATATACTCAAGACATTTGTAGGAAAACAGATGCAACTGGAGTCCTTATTCTTAAGTGAAATAAATTGGACACACGTGTGTAAATACCACATCGTTTCTCTGGTGTAAGAAATTGAAAGTGTAAATAAGAAGCAAAATGTTTAACAGGTATTGTGAAACAGGAAGAAAATGTTCAAATGGAAGGGGGAACAACACAGAGGGGAGGGGGACAGGAAAGGAAAGTTAAAAAAAGAAAGAAAAAACAAACATCAATATTACCTATCTTATAACCACAGATCTAAACCACAAAGACACCGGCACCTCTATACATGGAGCCCTTTCATGACTTGACGTAACCACTGGAGGCCAAAGGTGATACCTTGGGGTAAGGGAAGCCGTTGCTCTTGCAGCTTCTCCTGAGAGAGGAGTCCCAAGTAGCTGAGGACGACATACTTTGTTTCATAGTGAAATCCTAGAGGCACTGTAGTAGAAGACGCCATTGACTTGGCTGGCAGAGCTCCCCAGAGGTCTACTTACAGATGTGTCAGACCTAAAAACAGAAGGTTTTGTTCAGTTTATCGCATGACAGTACATTGGTCCACTGATTCCAACTATTCAACTGAATACCAAAATACACGTGTCTCTGAATTTTCTTTCTGGTAATCTTTTATTTTTCATTTTATTTATTTGTTTTGGTACCGGGAATCAAACTCAGGGCCTCGCCCGTGCCAGGCAGGCACTGTGCCACTGAGCTACATCCCTGGCCCTCTGGTAATCTTTTACAATATAACTATTTAACTTTCATACAAATGGTAATTTGTTTTTTTTCCACACAAGGTACCTCTGTGTAGCCTAGGCTGGCCTCAAACTCACTGTGTAGCCCAGGCAGGCCTGAGACTTGTGATTCTCCTGCCACAGCCTCCCAGGAGCTAGGATGACAGGTACACACCACATGCCCGGGGCAAATGGCGATTTAGGTACTCAGATTTTGCGTCAAAAGCAAACTATTTTTCTTCCTGGTTTATTTCCACCTGTGTGACAAATACACACAGTGACATCCCTCACCCCCACCTTAGTGTAAGTTCTCTTCTTTTAGCAATAAAGAAAATTTTAGGGGGCTGGGGATTTAGCTCAGCGGCAAAAAGCGCCTGCCTGGCAAGCGCAAGGTCGTGAGTTCGGTTCCCGGCACCGGAGAAAAACCAAAAAAAAAAAAAGAAAATTTTAGGGGCTGGGGATTTAGTTCAGCAGCACAGCGCCTGCCTGGCCAAGTGCAGGGTCGTGAGTTCGATTCCCAGTACCAGAAAAAAATGAAAAAAACAAAAAGAAAATTTAGCCAGACCCAAGACCACACAGCTAGAGACTGCCAGATCCTGGCCTTCCTCACAGCTCACATGCTCTAAGATCAGCCTGACCCAGGGGGAAGTGAGACATCCCAGTACAGCCTGTAAGCCCTCCATCTTCGGCTTTCCTCCTCCCTGTCTCTGCAATCTGCAGGTGGCCCTGACCCAGTTTGACATTCAAAGGACACATAGTAGGGGAGGCCAAAGCAACTAGACACATCCTGGGTCTGCGAGTGACTGCATGGAGCGGAGTCACCACATCAGTGTGGACCACGCACCTTGGGATCTTGTTTAAGCTGCTTTAATCTGTATCTCCTCAGCAGACATCCTAATTATATCTAATAAATACCACAACTCTCACTGTATCTGACGGACCTGGAGGAGTTGTATTATCTACCATATACTTTAATCACTGTTTCACATCAAAAAAATAATAATAACGTTTCACATCAATTTTTTATGTGCTCTTTTTTTTTTCTGTCTTTTTGAGGCAGGGTCTCACTATGCAGTTCAGGCTGGCCTTGAGCTCACTTTGTAGCTCAGGTTGGTCTTGAACTCACAATGATCCTCTTGCCTCAGCCTCCCAAGTGCTGGGATTACAAGCGTGCACAACCACACCTGGCCTATGTGCCATTCTTAAGCTTTCCAAATAACTTTGGTTTCTTTTTTATTTAGTATATTTTATACTTATTTTAAAACAGGGTCTTGCTATATAGTCCAGGCTGGTACTTAACTCACTATGTCCCCTAGGCTGGCCTTGAACTCACGATCCTCCTGCCTCAGCCTCCTGCTTGTATCACCACTGCCTGACTTTTAAGTTTCTTAAAAAAGAAACTCCTTTAAGATCTCAACAAATACAGTATTTTTACCTTCCTTATCGATGAGAGATACATTCTATGATCCTCAGGAGATGCCTAAAATCACTAACAGAACCAAATTCTACATACGTTGTGGAGGACCACCTGGGCAATTCTCCTTGAAAGAACAGCTATTATCTCCATCTTGGCTAAACCTGGCCCTAGTTCCATGTGTTGATATGTGCACAGCTGGCTAGGATTTTTCCTTATTCCTTCAACTGGCTTTAAGCAATGCAAACTGGTCCAGCCGAGGTGCTGATGGGTAGTCTTTGAAGCAAGGTGACAAGACAGTATTATCCCACCCCCGCAGCTCCCAAAAAACACATGTGAACCAGGTGCAAGGGAGAGGCATGTTCCACACTGTCCGCTGGGATGAGCCTGGAGATAAGCCTATGACCTCCCAGGGCATAAAAGATCACACATCAGAGCTGAAGCAAACATTAGACACTACCTCAACTGGGCTATGCAGATTTCTCTTTCTACATACGCTTCTCTCTGCACATTGCAGAGGTGATTTCAGACCGCCCACCCAGCCCAGCTCACAGCACTCACCTACTTCCCGCCACTCCCTTCTTCACAAATGAATGAAACCCAGGTTCAGCCCTGGGTCGAGGCTTTGGTCCGGTAAGCCATTATCCTAGCTGGACTTAGGGCCCCGTGGCTCCCCACAGCTACAAATATACTTCAGTGTCTTTATTCTCACCATAGGTTACACTGGAAGTCGTAGACTGGAATTACCAGAATTCCAATAACTCTTCATGGGACTGCAAATTCAAACTTCTCAGCCCACAACAAGGGCCAGGAAGGGCTCCCTACAGTACAGTAGGTTTTACTTTTTTGTGCGTCTGTGTGGTACTAGGTATTGAACCCAAAGCCTTTATATTGAGCTATATCTGCAGCCTTTGTTTTTAATTTTTTATTTTGAAAAATGGTCTTTATAAGTTATTAAGTTGCACCAGGCATGGTGGTGCATGCCTGTAACCCCAGCACTCAGGAGGCAGGAGGGTTGTTGTGATTTCGAGGCCAGCCTGAGCTACAAAGTAAGTTCAAGCCCAGCCTGAACTGCGTAGTGAGACTGTCTCAAAAAGACAAAAAAAAAAAAAAAAAAGCTACTAAGTTGCCCAGGCGGAACTGGAACTTGCAGTCCTCCTGCCTCAGCCTCCCAGACACCTGCGTGCCACCAGGCGTGCTTCTCTGTTTCAGGTTCTCCAGTACCAAATCCCTATAAACACTGTTTCCTTCTTGCCACAGCGCTTAGCAACTTCAGTATTTGTTATTTTTCCTTCCTTGAACTGGAAACACTTAGTTTTCACTTACAGGAACTCTCCATAACTTCTCCTTGCTAACATCTCTTGCACTTTGGAACCATTATTAAGTAATACAAGGGTTCCCAACATAAGCAATGCAATACTAAGATGGCAACCCGAGTGTGGTGCACACACCTGTAATCCCAGCACGTGGGAGGCCGAGACAGGAGGACCACTGTGAGCTCGAGCTCCAAGCCAGCCGGAGCTACAAAGTGGGTTGAAGGACAGCCTTAACTGCACAGCAAGACAAAAAAAAAAAAAAAACAAAAACAACAAGATGGCGGATCTGACAGTCAAGACAGTTACTAAGTGGGTAGCAAATACTCTGTGAATACACCAGAGAAAAATGGATAATCATTCCTTGGGCTGAACGTGCAAGACTTCAACATGTTACTCAGAATGGTGTGCAATTTAAACATTATTATTTCCAAAATTTTCCACCTGGATATGGTGGTGCACGCCTGTAATCCCTACCCTTTGGGACGCTGAGGCAGGAAGATTTCAAATTAAAGCTCAGCCTGGGCAATTTACTGAAACTCTTTTTCAAAGTAAAGAATAAAATCAACTCAGCGGCAAAAGCACTTGCCTGGCAAGCGCAAGGTCGTGAGTTCGGTTCCCGGTACCGGAGAAAAACAAACAAAAAAAAAAGAATAAAATCAAGCACTAGGGATGTGAAGAACCTAGGCTCAATCCCAAGTACTATGGGGGGCTGCTGCCATTTAATATTTTTAAACTGCAGCTGACAACTAAGAGAAATGTCCTAGAAGCCGGGAGTGGTGGCGTACGCCTATAATCCCAGCACTCGGGAGGCTGAGGCAGGAGGATCAGTGCAAGTTCGAGACCAGCCTGGGCTACAAAGTGAGCTCAAGGCCAGCCTGAACCACATAGGGAGACCCTGTCTCAGAAAGACCAAAAAAAAAAAAAGTCCTAGGATGATAAATAGTGAGAGAAAATGCAGAACTCATGGGGTTGGGGATTTAGCTCAGTGGCACAGTGCCTGCCTGGCAAGTGCGAGGTCGTGAGTTTGATTCCTGGTACTGGAAAAACAAAACAAAAAAAATTTGAAACACATGCCAGGCACGGTAAACACATATTTCCAGCACTCCGGGAGGCTGAGGCTGGAGGATTTTAAGCCTATCAGGGCATGTTAGTGACTTAATTAGACCCTGTCTCTAAAAAAAAAAAAAGGGGGGGGGTAGGGATATAGCTCAGTGTGAAGGTTGTAGATTCAATCCCCAGTACTCCTCTCCCAAAAAAACCCACTGAAATATACAAGGAATCTCTACATAGAGACAATCTTCTGGGAATAGTTAAATACTGTCTTTTTAAAAGCCCATAGCTGGATGTGGTGGTGCACCCCTGTAGCCTCAGCACTTGGGAGGCTGAGGCAGAAGGATCTCCTGGAATTTAGGGTCACCTTTGGCTACATAATAAGTTCAAAGCTAGCCTGAACTACATAGCAAGACCCTGTCTTTAAAAAACAAGGGCTGAATTAGAGCCTAATGGTAGAATACTTGCCTACAATGCACAGGGCCCTGGGTTTAACCCCTAGCACCAAGGAAAAAAAGTACAATGACAGTTGCTATTAATATCACTATTTTCTTATGCTATCAAAGGAATCTTGGTTCAACATTTAAAAGTCTCTGTTGCTTCTATTTTAGGAGCACTACTACTAGATTTTATTAAAAGATCCAATAGGACCAAGAACAATCTAGAAGTTTAATAGTTCTCATAAACATCTGAAAGATATTTCAGTGTGTGCTTGCTGCATGATTTGCTTCCCAATTTGATCCCCATTTAATCAATGTTACCCAAGCCACTATACTTCTAACCTGACTGGTTCACCACAGTCTCGTCCCACTTCACACCCACCTAGTGATTTCCCACTGGATCAATATAACCTAAGCAACTACACTTGTAATCTTATTGACTGACTATAGTTGTGTCCCACCTTGGGCCTACCTCACCTCATGGCTGGATTAATAAACACCCCGAGAAGAGGGGTTGGCAGGCAACCCACTTTCCAGGCCCCTTTCTGTTCCTCTT